TATTGACGATATTGTAATATTAACATATTTGTGGACTTACCTATGTTATAATTTTCTAATTCTCTTAGGTTAGGTTAATGGAAAAACGGTCATTTTAATACTAGATTGTTCATTTTGATGAGTTTGTGTTTATTTTAATACCATTTTTTTTAATGTTGGAAAATATACAGACGTGTATTGACTCGACCAAATTAGATATAAAATTAGTCAACTTTAACACCCTTGGTTGTTAATGCGCGAGAGTTCATTCCCATATCGAGGATCCTCCTCTAACTCATCATCAACACCTTCAACTACTTCATAGTCATCACCGAGAACAACCTCGGGTACAACCTTGACCTTATCTTCATCATTCAATTTGAAATCTTCATAAATAGGAACAACATGAGGCTTCCGTCGCGCCACTAGCTATTCTTTCGGAATCGATCGTGACAAAGGAAGAAGATAGAGAGATCGATTTTGAGAGGAACCGAGGAAGATATAAAGAGAGAAATACACAATCTCAAATTAAGGATTTAGAAGAAATAGAAATCGATTTTCTCTGTTTATAAAAAAACACCGTTTTAGTTAAACAGAAATTACCGCCCACAATAAATTGTCATTAACGGACACTAAACGGTGTTAATGATGATTAATTTGATATTAAAATGACCGTATTTCCGTTAGGTTAATACTCTTGTAAGTTCTAACTATATATATGCCTCTTAGGCTATGGCTTTGATCCGATTAGGCTGGAGTAGTAGATTGGGTTGGTAACTGTTCACTTCGTCTGCATCTGCAATAGTAGTATTGAATAGAAATCATTTTTAAGCTCACTCGTATCAATTTCAAAACCGGAGATTCCTGTCATTGTCAGATCTTCTTCTTCGTTGCAATCTTGTGGGGGATATTGGTTCAATCTCCAATGGCGGTCGATAATGGTGTTGCTCTGTCACCTCGCCGGTGGCATGGGCTGTTACGGGATCAGGTCCAGCTTGTTAAACGAAAGGACTCTGGAAGATACGAGATAGTTCCGATTGAGGATCCATTGTCTTTCGAAAAGGGTTTCTACGCTGTGATTCGTGCTTGCCAGTTATTGGCTCAGAAGA